TAGTCAACATGCAGAATCCTCTAGTCAATCTATCAACGTTACTCCTAAAAATGTACCTATATCACAACCCAACAAAGGTCGAGGCAGAGGTGTTTCTAAAGCCACCAAAAAACAATTTTCAGTTAAACCTGGTGTTTCGACTTTTGGTCGCATTGTTAAACCTAAGGAACCATACTCTCCAGAGTAACAAATTGAATTATTGCTCTTTCACTGTAACACTGTTAAATAATTTTAAGATTTTTATTTTTCTGTTCCATTAGAAAAAAATTTATTAACATAAATTTTTTTTCTTCACACTCTTGCGGAGATTGTGGTATCCGTCAAGTTGGTAGTATGTATTGCTAGGGAGATTTGCCCTGGTAGGTCGTGAAGCCTGGTTGGGCACTTGTTAGCTTATCAATAAAATGTGATCTTCTTCTTAGACCAGTGTCTCCCTTTTTCACCTTTCCTTTCAAAGGCATCTTCTGCGATATTATACCCCGAACCATGCTCATTATTTTCTGACAACGAGACAGCAATTTCTATGAGTAAGACATGGGAAGTTTCCGAAAAGACAAAGCATGTCGACTTAAAATACTATTATATTAAGGATATGAGTGAAAAGGGGAAGGTCAATTTAAAATTTGTGCCAGGTAAAGAAAATCCTGCAGACCTTTTTACTAAATCTTTGAATGGAGCCAGGACCAAATTCCTTTGTAACTCAATCAATGTGATTAAGGCTCCTTGAAATTTAATCCATGTTAAGTTTTTTTCTCATTTAGAGTGTAACTCACTTTTGCGCTGTATTTTATTCTTTAAATTTCTAAGAACTTTTATTGTCACTTTGTTATGTTAAGCTACGTGCACTTAGAGCGAAATTTTTTTGTCTCAAGGAGAAGTCCTAATAACTCAAAATTCCATTTTGTTGTGAGACGCAAAAATTTTTTTTTCAAAACCTTTTATTGTGAGACGTAAAATTTTTTCAAAACTCAAGATATGTCAATGTAAAAATTTTAGCCTCAAGGGGAAGTGTTGGAACCCTATTGCCGTACGGTGCTGCCCTCTATGGGCTCTCTTTGTCAACTGTGTACTCTTACTCACTCTCTCTCGCCATGTTACCGTTCGTTCATCAACTACCGCTGTACGCTTTTCATCTCGAATAAACCTGTCATGTCGTCTCCAATCTAGACTAAGTTTTTCACCCGTTTTTCCTCTCCTCTAGGAAACCTACAGCCTAAATGTCCCAAGCTTAGAAAAGATAAGAAAGCGTTGAAGGCTAAGTCAAATGAGCCAGTCAACAAAGACAAGAAGGATGATTCTACTAAGTCAGGTCGCTCTCTCCTAACCTCACTTTGTGCCAGCGTCACAGCTGATGAGTGGTACGTCGACTCCGGAGCGAGTGTTCATATGACCCATAATAAGTCATGGCTAGATAAATTCTCCAACAAGGATTCTAATCTGAAGATTGCTGAACAGCTCAATGAACAGTGAAGGAAGTGGTACTGTGCGTGTCTCGCTTGAAAATAGTGACATTAACTCAATATCTAATGTCCTTTTAGTCCCGGGATTGTCTACAAATTTGTTATCGGTTAAAAGTATAGTAGACAAAGATTTTGAAGTGGTATTTCGCAAACACTCCTGTGAAATATATCCACTAGGAGCCTTAAGTTTTGATAATCTTACACCGGCAGCCACGGCAGAGAACATCAACAGTCTCTATCGTTTGAAGGCCAACGTTAAATCGAGTGCGCGTATTGCAAGTGTGTCTACATCGGACCAAGACGTCGGAAGTGTGAACAGTGCGGGAAATTTAAGAACTTTCGTTTCATCGGATGAAATTATCCCTCAAGATAGTGAAACCGCGTTCAATTCCAATGTCATTTCATCTTTGAATAGTGATCCTGATATTTGGCACCGACGCTTGGGCCACCTCCCTAGATATGGTCTAGATTTATGTCGCAAAGGTCTTGTTAATGGAGTCACCTTTTCCGAGCACAGCAAGACAAAGTGCATACCATGCATCGAAGGGAAACATTGCAGGGAGTCATTTAAAAAGACAAACTGTACGAGAGCCTCAAGTTTACTTGGCATAGTTCATTCAGACCTTTGTGGACCCATGTCCTGCAAATCTTTTGGTGGAAAACGCTACTTGTTAACCTTTACACACGACTTTTCCAGGAAAACGTTTGTCTATTTTCTGGAAAATAAAAGTCAAGTTTTCTCAAAGTTTAAAGAATTCAAAGCTCTGGTGGAAAATGAAACTGAGAAAACGATCAAAGTTCTCCGTAGTGATAATGGTGGGGAATACATCAGCGCACAAATGTCTGATTTCCTCATAAACCATGGCATCAAGCGCCAACTCACTCAGCCCTACAGCCCACAGTAAAATGGAGTTGCTGAACGTGTTGATCGTAGTCTCATCGAAAAAACGTTATGTTTACTCCAAGACGCTAAACTTGGTAAAGAATACTGGGCAGAAGTGGTCAATACTGCAGTTTATCTCAAGAACAGATCTCCTCATAGAGCGTTGGTTAATGCAACTCCAGAAGAAATATGGTCTGGCAAAAAGGTAGATGTCAGCCATCTTCGCATTTTTGGCTGTAAAGCCTATATGTTCACATCCCCAAAGAGAAACGTAAGAAATTAGATGTTAAAAGCAAATCCATGATCTTCGTCGGGTACTGTAAAAATTCAAAGGGCTATAGACTCATTGATCCTCAAAACCCTAAGAAAGTGACCACATCCAGAGATGTTATTTTTTTGGAAACATCTCTTGGTGCAGCTCAACCAGAAGTAAACGGCAACGCTCACTCTCCTGACCTGATTTCACCAATTTCTGATGAAGACACCTCATCAAGTGAAAATGATTCGCAGTTTTCTTCCAATTCCAAACTGGATGACTCATCATCAAGTGACAGTGAATCAAGTGCCTCATCGTTAAGTGAAGAAGTCTCTTCTGAAGACAACTACAGTGAATCCAGCTCTGTTTCATTGACCTCAACCACACTTGAAGGACAAGACCAAGAAGTCTCTGAGCGACGATTTCCTACCAGAATTCGAGAAATCCCCAAACGGCTGGCGGATTATGTACTTAACCTTGCAAGCACCAGTTCTGTGTGTAGATGATTCACTTAGTCTTGATAATTTTAGCTTTGACGAACCAACAACGGTAAGACAAAGCACTATCCAGTAAAGATTGTGAAAGTTGGAAAAAGGCTATGCTCTTGGAGTATGAATCTTTCCTTAAAAATAATGTATGGACTCTAGTTGATAAACCACCTGACCAAAAGGTCATTCAAAGTAAATGGGTCTTTAAAATCAAAAGAGACAGCGATGATAACGTAGAAAAATTAAAGGCTAGGTTAGTAGCTAAAGGGTTTAGTCAAACTCACGGGGTTGATTACTTTGAAACATACTCTCCTGTAATTAGACACTCAACCCTTAGGTACCTATCTCTTAGCTTTCGCCGCAGAACATAATCTTGAAATTGACCACCTTCATGTTGATAATGCGTTTCTGCATGGCGAATTAACTGAAAAAGTATACATGACTCAACCTGAAGGTTTTGTTGATCAGAGTAACTCTAAAAAAGTCTGGCTTCTTAATAAAGCTGTTTATGGACTTCAACAAGCCTCTCTTGTTTGGAATCAAAAAGCCAAGAATTATTTAGTCTCATTAGGTTATCTTCAATCAATAAATGAACCATGTGTATTTTTCAAAATCAATGGAAATCTAATCACAATTGTTGCCATCTATGTTGATGATTTTCTTACCTTTTCTAATGATAAACAAGAAAAATCTACTCTGCATGCTCAATTGAAAGAAAAATTTCCCATTAAAGATTTAGGACCAGTTAAATTCTGCCTGGGATTAAATATATTTAGAAATGTCAACTCAGGTGAAATTATTGTAAATCAAAAAACCTACATTCTGAAAATTTTAAAAAGGTTTGGCATGTTGAATTGTAAAGGCATTTCTACTCCAATGGAATCGCACTCCAAACATAGGTAACAAACCTATTATTCCTTGCAATGATTCTCTAAATTCACCACATTCAAATGAATCCATTACAATTGACCATTCTGAAGAATTTTTGAAAGCTGATATTCCATTTCGTAATCTCATAGGTGCATTAATGTACCTTGTAGTATGCACACGTCCTGATATAGCGCATAGCGTAAGCTATCTAAGTCAATTTAACTCTAATCCCAAACTAAAGCATTGGAATGCCGCAAAGAGAATATTACGCTACCTTAAGGAAACGATTAATTTTAGTCTCGTTTTTAAGCCTGGTCACACAGACATCGTCGGCTATGCTGACTCAGACTGGGGCAATAAT